CATAACATAATAAAATAAAATTTAAAAAATAAATAAATAAAACAAAAGAATGTATAAAAATTAAACTTGTCACTGGTGGGCTTTTGGAAAAAAAGAAAAGTTTCAAAGCTCACTCAAAAATAAACCAATAACCTGAACATTCTTAGCTTTTAAAAACATAGGTTTTATCGTTAAAAACTTTTTACAAATAAATGTCCAGATTAGTTCAGTGGTGAATTTTAACCAAATATTTAAGGGGAAAGAGGTATCAATCCTACACACTCTTTCTTATGGACTGAATGTTTGTGGTCCCTCAAACTCCTGCATTGAAGCCTCAGCCCCCAACGTGACTGTATTTGGAGATCTGGCCTTTATGCAGGTCAGCAAGGCCGAAGGTGGTTATGTTCTCTCTCCGCCATGTGAGCACACAAGGGGAAGGAGCCCATCTGCAAGCCAGGACGAGTCCTCATCAGGAACTGAATTAGCAAGGATCTGGATCTGGGACTTCAAGCCTCGAAAACTATGAAAAGATAAATGGCTCTTCAAAACACCCTCTTAAGAAAATGAAAGGTCAGCCACCAAGTGGGAGAATGTATTAGCAAGACATATATCCAACAAATAATTGCATCAGAGTATAAGAAGTGTTCTTAAAGGTTATATATAATAACAAGACAAAAAAACCCCACAAAACTTAGTTTAAAAATTGGGGAAAGTATTTGATCAGACACTTGCACAAAGAAGTTTTCAAAATTGCAAAAAAGAAAATGAAAAGGTGCTCAACATCAGGGCAATGCAAGTTCCGGCCCATGCGAGACCATCATCTACCCTCTCAGATGACCACAGGGGAAGTTTGACATTACTAACCATCAAGGAGGTTGTAAACAACTGGAGTTCTCATGCATTGCTTGTAGGAATGTGGAATAGTTTGGGCTACTCTGGGAAATTTGACAACTTTTTTTATAAACTTAGGCAGAAATTTATCCTACTATGTGGTAACAATACCATAACAACCCTCATCTCCTGCAGAGAAATTGAAGCCTACAGCCAGAACGAAACTTATTTTAAACATGCATAGTAGCTTTATTGATAACAGCTCCAAACTAGAAACAGCCTAAATGTCCATCAACTGGTATATAGGAAAACAAACTGTGCTCTGTCCGTCCAGTGGAATAGCACTCAGCAATTCCAGGTAACGCATACACGCAACAGCATGGAAGGATCTTCAAGGCATCTGCGGGCTTGTAGCTGGGAGGTGTCAGCAGTGGGACCAGATGCCTTTCCTCAGTTCCTCCACAGGGCTGCAGTCTCATGGATGGCAGGGCACGCTCCCTGGGCTGCCCTGAGGGGCTTTTCTTGGTGGGTGGGGCTGGCAACAGCGTGGCTGGACCTAGAGGGTACACTGCTACATGAAATAATCCAGACAGAGAGAGACAGATACCACATGATTTCACGTGTAGGTGGAACTTAAAAAATAAAACCAACCAACCAACCAACAAAAAGAGACAAGCAAACACAGACTCTTAAATACAGAGAACAAACTGGTGGGTGCCAGAAGGGAGGAGGGGGTGGGGGTTGGAGGACACAAATAAAGGGAATGAAGAGCCCACTTATCATGACGAGCACTGAGAAATGTATAGAATTGTTGAATGATGATATTGTACACCTGAAACTGACATAACACGGTATGTTAATTATACTTCAATTTAAAAAAAAATTTAAGAACCTTAAAGGCATTATGGTAAGTGAGCCTGACACAAAAGACTACAGATTGTATGATTCCATTTATATAAATTTCTAGAACAGGCAAAGCTAAAGTGACAAAAAGCCTATCAGTTGCTGGGGGCGGGGGGCTAGGTCCAGGGGTATGAGTAAGAAGTTTAATGGAAAAAAGCACAAAGAAACTTTTGGGGATGATGGAAATGTTCTATGTAGTGATTGTTGTTGTTTGACAACTGTATGCTTTTCCAAAATTCAGTAAACTTTTAAAGAGGTGAAATTTATTGAATGGAATTATACTTTACAAAGCTGATTTTAAACAGGCTAACTGCAACATAAGAAGTGAAAAGTAATTGCTAATAAAATCTATGGTAAGCAAATACAGAAAATCTTCTTTTTTCGCGCTTCACATTTTGAAAACACATGATGTGCACTCTAAACTTTTACTAAGGTTTTCACAGAGCTTGGGCCACTCATTGGCTTTGGACCTTTGAATCCACAAATGAGTCAGTTAAGATCAGATCATAACTTTATTTGGATGAACATATGGCAATGTCTCTGAGAGGAAGTGGGGAGGAGGGAGGCAGGGAGAGAGTGAGCAAATCTCCAAGTCTGCAAGACGGAAGATGGAACAGAGTCAGAAGGGAAGAAGAAAAAGAGGTAGAACAGAAAGAATCAGAAGGGAGGGAGGGGGGAACTGGACGCACCCAAATGTCAAAATGTATTTGCAATTCCCATCTTCATCTTCTGTGCTCAAACGTGTAGCTATCCAATTATCCTTTCAACAAACACGTATTAAGCACCTACTATGTGACGGACACAGCTGCATGCACAGATGATACATTAGTAAGGTAGACAGACACAAATCTGTGCTCCCATGGGCTTTGTATTTTCGTGGAAGAGCAAAATCTGTCCTCGTTTCAAATAATTTTTGGAAAAAGTTTAAAACTTGTCTGCTGAGCTAGAAGAGGCTGCCTCTTGGGGTACGGCTCTTAGCCGTGTTCACGCATGCACATGCACACACAGGGCATCGGTGTTGAAGTACTGGGGGCTCATAGATACGCAAGGGGCAGAGTGTGGGGTGTGGGCTGTGGAGCCATCATCTCCTGACGCAGGCCTGAAGGGGTTCTATAAGTTTTTAATTACTCAAAGCCATGTCTTCCCTGGGCCCACGTCCTTTGCAAAATATGGTCTGCTTAAGGGCTGCCCTCACTTCACGGTTGCTCAGACAGTACATGATAGGGTTGAGGAGGGGGACAACGACCGCGTAGGGCGCAGATACTGCTTTGTTGGTACATGAGCTTGGGGCGGGCATACGTGGAAAGGGTCATGGAATGGAAAAGGATTACAACTGTCAGGTGAGAGGCACAGGTGGGAAACGCCTTTTGGCGGCCCTGGGCAGAAGGGATCCTGAGGATGGTGTTGAGAATGGTGGCATAAGATGCCACCACTGCACAAAGGGGGACGGCAATGACCATGAGGGCCAAGAGGAAGTCTACTAGCTCAGCCTGTGAGGAGTCCTCCCAGGAGACACTGAGAAGCGGAGAAATATCACAAGAGTAGTGACTGATGTGGGGCGTGCCACAGTAGTAGAGTCGAGCTATGAAAACCATCTTAATCACGGCAGTCACAAGCCCACAGGACCAGCATCCCCCAGCCAATGTACCACACAGCTGGTTGGTCATGATAACTGGGTACCGTGGTGGATTACAGATGGCTACATGCCAGTCAAAGGCCATGACAGCAAGGAGGACGTACTCTGTGCAGACAAAAGTCACAAAGAAGTAAAGTTGAGTCATGCAGCCGTTGAAGGAGATGGTCTCATCATGGCTGAGGAAGTCTATCAGCATCTTGGGGCTGATGACTGTGACATACCCCATCTCCAGGAAGGAAAGATTGCTCAGGAAGAAGTACATGGGCTTGTGCAACTGCCCATCACTGCAAATGGCCAGGATGATGAGAGCGTTCTCCAGCAGGGTCAGCAGGTACGCTGCCAGGAGAACAAGGAAGAGCAACCACTGGAAGGCTGGCCATGTTGGAAATCCCAGGAGAACGAAACGTATGGTCGCTGCACGGTTATCTACTTACAGAACCTTGGTGATCATAACCGGCTGGGGACACAGACAAAATCGGTTTTTTCCACGTCCTGAGTACCAGCCTATGGTTCCTAACACTGATAGAGCCTGCCCCCGGCAGAGTCATCGTAATAGAAGTTTTCCTGCCTTCACACCTTTACTTCTTCCTAAGTGATGATCAGAACCAAAACTTGTGGGCAAAAGATGTACTTCAGGGAGCTTATATATTTTTTTTTTTTCAAATTAAGCCAAGAGACATAACTCATCCAAGATCCCACAGAAGTGAAGTTTGGAAACTTCTGACCCCCAGTTATTCCTATGCCTCTCTGATATATCTCTGCTGGGCAGAAGAGGATGGCCTTCATATCACCCCTTCACCGTAAGTAAGAAATCCAATCCACTGCATATGGAAAGGAGGCAGGAGACTCGAGTGACATAATTTGTATGACTCTGGAGAAGTCTTATGGCCCCACTTACCTGTAAGGAAACATTGCTCCTGTTTCGTTTTGTTTCTTATATAACAAAGTTGTAAACCTTAAATGAAACAATATTGGAGCAAAAACACAGGGTTAATAGCAAATTTGATACATATATTCACGAGCTTCTTGGAGAACAGAATCAAATAGGTAACTTAAAAAGCAATGTTTTCTTTCATCCAGTCCATTGTAAGGAGTACTCAATTAGGAGTTTGGAAAAAGTAAATCAAATCCCACTTTTGTCTCACTCCAGCTAGGTGAGCATGGGACTTCATTTTCAGAATACTAGTTCTTTTATTTTCAGGGTGGATATAGTATAATTTCATGACATCTGTAAACATCTAATGAGCTTTAGGATTTTAATTAAATTCCTATAGACATTTGCTGTGACCTTTCCAGGATGCACTGCTAATTCTCCCATCAACCTGCCAAAAAATCAACGCAGATCTACATGGTGGAAACCACAGCCATTTTTAATGAAAGAGGAGGAGACTGTGGGACCTTTCCGGGGGTATTAGATTAAAGGACACACAAGTCACTTGAAAATAGTATCAGGAAAGATGGAGAACCCCGATGCCTTCTGCCGTCAGTGAGCCTCCTGTATCCCCCCCCCCGGGTGCAGTCTCCGTCCAAGTGGGCTGAGAATCACTCCGAATCTGAACCTCCAAGCTCCCACCTCCCAGACTTTCTCTGGGTCCTGCGGCTGATTCCTCTCTCCTGTGCTTCTCCAGAGCCGGTCTCTCTTGTTCTCTACTTCTCAACAACCCTGCTTGTGTGCAGGACGTGTGAGGCACAGCTGCGGAAGGCTGTCTATTTTTCCTGACCTGGAAAATGGCTGCCCACCCCATCCACTCCCCTCTTGCTACTCCGACCTCACTTTAGGACCCTAAAGAAAGATAGAAGAACCACCTCTTAGTGACCCATGTTAGAGAGAAAAACAGACACAGATAAACAAACAAACAAAAATGTCTAATAGTGCAAATTCAACAAACAAGTTTGTTTTCTGTTGGCACTCAGCCTTTAATTCACACACACACACACACACACACACACACGCACAACACAAAACAGCCCCTGCCTGCCGTGGCCTAGGATTATGAGGCAGTGTGGGGACGGTGGAGCTCACAAACAAGGCAAGGTCTGTGGACCCCGAGCTCCCTCAGCTGCTTTCTACTCTTCTCTGAATCTGAAGGTCCCACCAGCCTGAAACCTATGAATAGCTTAGGCCCACCCTCCAGCCAGGCTTTTCCTCAGCACACCTCTGTCCTGGCAAATGGGTAGGGAGGACGTTATACCCAGAAGTCCTTTCTTCCTGGAACCCTTCCCAGGGCCCCCCAGGAAATGGGACAATGCAACGTATTGTCAGGACTTTAGCAACAGGCATGTCATTCTCAGAGGCGATGCTTCAGTCCTGAAGCCGGAAATGAAGGCAGCCCGTGGAATTGAAGACTAAGACTTTGCACATGCAGTGGGGGATGTTCTCACAGGAGCTGTGCATTCTTTCCTGTACTTCCCACAGGAATGTAAGACTCAGAGGCAGTACTGCCGGGGAAATGAGCACAAGATGAGGATAGGAAAAAATAAAGGGAAGAGAGGGAAGTATACAGAATTATACCAAAAACAGCTGACTGAGCAGTTTCATCATTTAGGCATGGGATTAGCTTTGTCTTCCAGTAGTCCAATAAAAGAGGAAAAGTCAAATGAAGTCAAATGAAACAGGAAAAGAATTGAAAGTACAGTATGATCACATTTGAGCCTTGAAACTCTCCATATATATAACATGTGTATATATAGTATGCTTTGCCAATAGTCCCATGCAATGTAAATGTAGGAAGGAGTCTAGGTCTCAGGTCTCCAGGACTAGGTATCTTAGTCCTGTCAGTGGCTTCCAAGGTCATTTATCAAGTCCGTCTGGCAGACAGAGGAGGAAGAGGGCAAGGCTCAGAGAGTGACAGCCTTTTTTCCAGCACCAGTTCGGCAGCAAGCGGAGCCCTGAGCAGGATGTGCTGACTCTGTGGCAGATGACGCCTCACATTTGCGGATCACTTCACAATATCTGAAGGCACATTGCTTCACGTGAGCCTCACAATCAGGAGTTAGCCAGGACAAACATCATGGTGCCCAGCTGACCCAGAGATGGATCTTACCATCTTTCTCTTACGGTACTATGCATGAAGAGAAGTGAAATCTTCTAAGGAGTTAGAAGTCATCAAAACTACAACCACCATCAGCTTTGCCAGACCCTGCCCCTGTTTAATGGGGAGAAACACACACACATACTCACATACCTGTGTTCCACCCTCCCTCCCCCCGCACACATACCCATTCATGTTCTCCCATACAGTCTTTCTATTTTCTCTGCCACTTTCTTCGTGACTGTCAGGGCACGCCTGGATTCTGCACTTTGCAAGGCATAAAGGTGGGCTGTTGCATTAAACTGAGGTATCTTCAGGAGCACAGATCACTGGACAATTGTAGAGACTCAGGCCTATTTCATCTAGAGTGGGTAATTACAGCAGAGTTTTAAAATGACATGACAACCTATATTACACAGTACTTCTTCATATAGCTTAATATACAAGGTGGTAGAGAAATATTGTTGAAGCGAAATGAAGCTATATATGTACTAAGTTCACTCCCCAACTATACTGTGTAGCTATACTTTCCACAATAAGCTCAAAAAGACAACTATTTTTAAATATCAATAAAATGAGAGCTCCTAAGAATCAGTGATTGAGCTAAAATTGATTTTCAATCATCCCCTGGAAACACCTGAGAGTCTTTTTTCAACCCACCATTTTCCCGGTCACGTAACTTAGGACTCTTCTGCCAGCCTTCTCAGGAATGACCACCTTGAACTGAGAAAAGAGGAGAGATCATGTAGACCAGGAGGAAGAATTCAATATCCCCAAGCTCAAGAGGCACTGGGCAAAGCCGGTTGTGTCTCCGCTCAGCTTGAAGAAGGCATAGAAAGAGCTATTTGTGCTCTGCCGGCCTCCAACCTACTGGAGGAGCACACACCAACTCCCTCCCACCCACAGGGGACCTCCCAGCAGACACAGCCCTCAGGAAAGTACTTGGCCTTTCCAGGGCCCAAGGGGATCCGGGGGAATACAAAGGGAAGAGCAGACAAGCTAAATGGCACAAGAGAGACCTTAGGCTTGAGGACTGTTCGTTGCCTTCTTCCCCCCCAGACTCTGGGGCAGAGGAAGGTGCTGGAAAAGTGTGTGTGTGTGTGTGTGTGTGTGTGTGTGTGTGTGTGTGTGTGTGTGTGTCCTTTTCTCTTTCTGGAGAATGGTCTCACACGTCATAAGATGCTCTGGAGGAATATAGTGCTATAACCAAAGTCATTCAGCAGAAAATCAGAACGGCATTTACTCACTCTTATTTGGGGACCCAAGTACGTGTACACACACATATACAAACTCCAAACATGCTTAGATGTTATGCACACAAGTATCAGCTCTGTACACCTACACAACCCTCATGCATCAGTAACTCAGTAAATAAAAACATACGTATGTATCTCAAAGAGACTTACACACTCCCCTGTTCATTACAGCATCATTAGCAGTAGCCAAGTTACGGAAACAACCTAAATGCCCATCCGTGGGTGATTAGGAAAAAAGATGTGCCATGAGAATTCGGCTGTGAGAAAGGAGGGAATCCCACCATTTGAGACAACAGGGAGGAACCTTGAGCACATATGCTAAGTGAGATAAGTCAGATAAAGACGAGTAATGTATGATACCACTTATACGTGGAATCTTAAAAAAAAAGTCAAACCCATACTACACAGATGGCAAGATGGTGGTTGCTAGGGAATGGGGGTGAAGAGATAAGACTCACCGTGTTTAAGGGTACACACTTGCAATGAATAGCAAATAAGCCATAGTTTTCAATGCCTGGTATAATAGATATACACAACAATAGGGGACTATAATTATGTAATGTGATAAATATCGCTACAAAGACAATCATATTACAATATATAAATGTATCAAAGTAACATATTGTACACTTTCAATTTACACAATGTTATATGTCAAATGTATTCAAGAAAAAAAGAAAAACATGAGTTTTCATTGCTCTCTCTTAGCTCTGTGAGGCAAAGAAATTCTCAAGTCTCTCCAAGTACCATGTTCCTCATCTTTAAAAGGCAATGCTAACATTAACCCAGAAGTTAACAACAACAAAAAAAATGCCATCTTTTCTCGTTATAACTGTTTACAACTATTCCTTGGTACAAAGGAAAAAGCTGTAGTTAAAACTCTGAGTGCTTAAAGCAAAAAAAGGAATTCTAAGCTCACTCTTTATTGTTTCCTGTTACAGAAGAAAAAAACAGTTAATTAAAGGATAATATTGAAAAAGTAGGCAGAGACTATACCTTTGAGTTAAGTGAGAAAAAGCACAGAGCTTATATATTGTAATATGCCTGACTTTGGAACCATATTCAGGATCATTATGCATTTAGCTTTGGTAAGGAGAAATAGAGTAATTTTAAAATGTAAAAGTCGAAGTTTACTGGGGAAACTCACATTTTTCCTTATATTT